TCCCTGTTAACCGTTCAATCACATTCCATTTCTTCATCAACCACTTTGAGCCTCGTCTAACGTTTGGCCTTCATTTCTTCAACCCACATTCACTTAACCTCGAGATTGGAAGATGTGTAATTGTATAACATTCAAAAAGCAAGTAAAAAAAAAAGAAAAAAAAGCAGCAAAGCAACAATAAAACAATGTCTAAAGGCAAGTGTTCCAATGTCTTTGATATGAACACGTCTCAAATTGCGTCTCTCATCGAGTGCTTGGTACCGTGCCTGAGAAACATGAATGCTAAGTGAGTGATGGACCGCATGATCTGAGATTGCCTACATTGATTCAAAAGAATGAAAAAAAATTAAAGAAAAAAATATATGAAAAATAAAACTTGCAAAGTCTAATACACAATTGCATATCTTGGGGGCTTCACTCGGGTCTTGAGCCTTTTACCCTTTTCTTCCTTAAACCTTCAGCTTAACCACATTACAACCCTTGAAAGACCTCTTTGAGGTGTACACACACTTGTGCAAATTTCAGTTAGAGATACGTTCGACCTGATTCCTAACGGATACGTAGGCAACCTCACATCGAGGTGCGGCCACATTCACATTCATATCTATGCATGATCGAGTTAAAAAATATCCAATGCTTATCTCTATATCCCTACCCATTTAGAGCTAGACTTGGGGGCTTGAACCCACGTCACATTAGCTTACCTAGCCTAAAGAGTCATCATCTTTGACTCTTCTCACATCTATTTCCCTTGCAGCCAGCCTTAGTATCACATTCACACACTTCACTCACACATCCATATCCATATCAATCATCCTTCCCTTTAAGAGCCCTTTATCATGAAATTTTGTTTCAACACTGTGCATGTTTCATCATATTTAAAGACAACATTCATTAGAAGAAACATTGTATACTTGCTTAGCTTCCTGACCTGAGCAATATTCATTGTTTCATGCATCGCATAATGTGCTGAGAAACATTTATATATCAATGATTTTTAATCGTACAAAACATATCGTGCTTAGCTCCTTGACCTAAGCAACGTTCATAATCACTTCATCTATATACGTGCTTAGCTTCCAAACCTAAGTGACGTTCAAGATCGTTTCTTTACACCATATATGATGCTTAGCTCCATGACTTAAGTTCATTCATCTATCGTGTCACATGATGCAATTTTCCTTAGCTTCCGAGCTTAAGAACATGCATCATGCATACATTATTTTCAAGACAAGCAATTCAATCCATACAATTCATTTCGTCTTGCTCAAGGAGGAAGTTCAAAACTTCTTCCCTTTTTCATTATTTTATTTTGGGGAAGTTCAAAAGCTTTTTCAAATTTTTTGTAGAGGGAAGTTTGAAAATAAAATTTCATTTTTCATGTCTTTCTTTTTCGGGAGAAAGTCGGTACCCTCCACTCATGACAAAAATTGACGGAAAATTTTTGCTTTTGCATCTTCGTTCTGCACACACACACTCAAACTATACACACACAATCACAAGTCATACTCATGTCATGTCAAGTCAAACTTGGTCAAGTTAGTTGGTCAAGTCAATCATAGTCTATACGAGTCCCCTGGCAAATTTTATTTTGCAGGTCTCAATTACAACCCATGTCCGAGGACAAGCGGAACATCTACAACCCACGTCCGGGGACAAGCGGACCATTTACAGCCCAAGTCCAGGGGACAAGCGGACCATCTATAACCCACGTTCGCGCCAAGCGAACCAACTACAGCCCACGTCCGGGGACAAGCGGACCGTTTACAGCCCACGTTCGGGGACAAGCGAACCATTTACAGCCCACGTTCGGGGACAAGAGAACCAACTACAGCCGACGTCCGGGGACAAGCGGACCATCTACAGCCCACGTTCGGGGACAATCGAACCACCATCATTTCATGACGCAACGTTCTCGATACACAGAGACTTGCAATCTCATCATCTGTCGACTTTCCTCAAGCATGGAAAGTATTATCGCTGGATTTTTCTTCAAGCATAGAAAATCGCCAAATTCTTTTTTCGGCTTTCCTCAAGCATGGAAAGCATTATCGGTGGATTTCTTCAAGCATAGAAAAACGCCAAAATCATATGTCGACTTTCCTTAAGCATGGAAAGTGCCATCTGATAGGTTTTTTCGGGCTTAGAAAGATACCAAACTCAACTGTCAGCTTTCCTCAAGCATGGAAAGTATTTCAACAAATGTCATACGGTGGATTCCTTCAAGCATAGGAAAATACCAAACTCATTTGTCACCGATACACTGGTGTCAGATAAGCGTTCTATCAGTTTACTCTTTTATCTATGGAATGAACATTTTTGCAGGTATCGGCGTATACAGAGTGATTTAGGATTGCAGCGTCTTAAATCATTCTCCGTCCTAATCCACTACTTTGATTATCGTTTTCGAAACTAACGTTTCTACAAACTCAGTCAAAGTGGGGGCTTCTGTAGACACCTAAAAATATCTCCCCAAAACCAAACCCGATGATGAACAACCTTTCACCGCCATTATTGGTCGGGTTGAGTATTTAATCTTGGAGTGCTTAAATCCATATTTCCATTTCATAAACCAACCCAAATTCTAGCCCATTTCCCCAAACCATAATTTATTTTCCTCTTTTCGTGCCTTTAAACACAAAATAATTCATTTCGTGTCCTTTAAAATCATTCATTTCGTGTCCTTTTTATAAAAACATTTAATCTAGTTTATTTTGGTCCATAATATGGGTTCAATGATTATATAGTTGGATGGGGCTTTATAAGAGCTTTCCAACGATATAATATAAGCCCAAATCCGAGTTATAACGAATAAGTTATGGCCAAAATATTAAATTAAGCCCAAACCGAACCTAAGCCCACCTTACCTACGACCCAATGATCATGTGGAGGGTCCAAATGATTTAACCCAATTCCTAAACCAATTAGGATTAATTAGAAGCTTATATAAGTTTCTAAAATATCTTTATTATCTTTTTTGAAAAGATAAGATTAAAGAGTCTGAAATTGAATAAAACTCCTTTTTTTGAAAGTCCTAATTCTACCCGAATTGAAAGACATTCAAAGATAGACAGATATTATTTTCGTGACTCGTATTTTTTATCCAAATTTTATATGGTTGGATAGACCTTGAAATTATCTTTCCAATGATATATTATAATATCAATTCGAGCTATAACGGAAAAGATATGAATAAAATGTCAAACTCTATCCAAAACTGATACCGTCTCATTATTTCGGCTATATCTTTTTTTCTACAAAATATTTTAATCTGATTCTAATTGGGTTAGAAATTAGACTTGAAGATCTTTCCAAAAATATCTTATTCATCTTATTCCAAAATCTGGATCAAAAGATATGATAAAAACAAAAACCGCAAAAATTGCAGTCTATCGAGTTTTATTCCGATTTAATTCGGATCTTATCTTGATTCTTCGACCTTCTTTTTTCTCTATAAATAGAGGTCATATCTCCCCTTTTCCAATCATCAACAAGCTTGATCATAAAATAATTCTCTTCTCCCTCTTTAGCCTAAATACTAGCCATCCTATTTTCTCAAAATACTTTCCCTAATTAAGCACTCCAAGGAGTTCATATAATACCCAAAGTTCTATACTTGAACCAAGGCGTGACAGAAATTCAAGGAAACGCGGAAAGTGAGTAATTATTCACTTAATTACTCTTATTATTATTATTGTTGCTAGTATCATGATTAAGTTTATTTATATTTGATTTGACTAACGTTATCATTGTTAAATTGCTTCCAATATTAATGTTTATTCTATTGTTATTATGATCATTATATTGCATGTTAAAGGGAATATGTAATTGAAAATCACGCCTAATAAGATAATTTGGACATTCGGTTAGGTTCCTTTTTAATCTTGTTATTAATTCAAGTGATCACTAATATTTTAGAATTATGTGTTGCATTAATATTAAACCAATTTAGCTTAATAATAGTTTGAAGCAAATTGAATATTTTGTTTGTATGCCTTTGAGATCGCATGAATCATTTTTCACTATAAGAATCGAGTAGAGGCCAACACGGGCGAATGTGACTCCATGACTCACTTCGTACCATCATCCCCGATCCTCCTTTCGTGGTTCCGAACCATATGGAGTTAGTAATCTCATGGATTATGAATGGGGTGTAACCTTCATGGGTCAATCGTTGTCCCTTATTCGTGGTTGCCTTTTATGATCCGTGAACGGTTTACAAGTTCCTTAAAAACTTGTTGGCGGCTCCCTACTTTCCTTGTCCCTAATCGTATATATCAATTCCCACTTCCTAAGAGTGCCAAGCATATTCCCCACATGCTTTAACGTAGGCGCACTTCGAGCGATGCTTACATGTAGCTTTCCGCCTCCCTCAGGGCCGCCTGCAGAGTGAAGGCCCTTTTTCTGACAAGGTCGAACTTAAAAGTTGACCCGTCTCTCAAACCCTTAAAGAAGTCTGTGAAAGCTACCTCGTCAGACAGTCCCTGAATATGAATTCTTGTCAGATTTAACTGCCTGACGTAGGAGCGTAACCCTTCTCTCTCTCCCTGCTTAATGGTGCACAAGTCAAGACTTGTTTTCTACGCAGGGATGTTCTTTGAGAAGTTGGAAGCAAACAAGAAGGCAAGCTTCTTAAAGCTATCAATAGAACCGGCTGGCAGTTAGCCAAACCATTGTTAGACAATGCCCTTTAATGTAGCCGGGAAGCATCGACACCAAGTGACATCGTCTAACCCCTGTAAATACATGAGGTTATTGTATGCCATGAGGTGGTCTTCCGGGTTAGAGGTACCATCATAAGTACCTAAAAACACGTTTTTAACCTTGGCATGTTGTGCCGCCTCTGTTATTTCCCTAGTGAACGCAGAAGGTTGTTCACCAAGGCGGACCAGACAAAGCTGCCAATCCAGTGGATGGACATTGCTATATGCCGCCTGACCTCCAAAGAGGGTCGACTGCATGAAGTGAGGGGAATATGAGCCTTAGACCGTAGGCAGTACGTACGGTGCATTCCCAATCATCTGAGGGCCAGGGTGGACGGTATTACTGCCTGTATGGCTCTCATGCAAGGATTGGGCATTTCCTGCAGATGTATTCTTAAAGCTGTCTAGAAAGCTTGAGGTGGAAGCTGACTCAGACAGCCGCTGATTCCTCCTGCGGGTGATGATTTCCTGAGCATCAGGAGTTGATTTATTTTTACCCACTAGTTGTTCACTCTGGCGGGTGCTTCTAGTATTCTTCTGGGGTAGAAGAATTTTGGACCAGTCAAAGGTCCCGGCTGCCTTGTCCTTTGGATGTGGATTCGGCTGCCTGTCCCTGATTGGCTTTCTCCTTTCTGGAGGAGTCTTCCTTGCCGACCGACCCTTACTTGGGCCAACCCTGCCTTTGCTAATCATCTCCATAATCTCACCCTTGAAGCTGTTCATGAATGTCATGAGCTCATCCCGGGTGACTGGAGCTGATCCTCTGGCCGTCTAGGTTACCCCTTCTGGCCGCCCAGGGAACCTGCTTGGACCTTCCTGGCTTGCATGTTGTTCCAGCTGTTCTCTAGAGCGACTCTATCTGGAAATGAATGAGCCATCCTCGGCCATATACGTTTCCACTTAGTCATCATCATCCTTATGGTCTGTGAAGACCTCCAGCTGAGGAATATTGAGGTTACCCGGCTGAGTAGCCAGTTGCTGGTTGGTAGAATCAGGAAGTGGTACACATTCTTGAACCATCTTTGAGGTACTCTCCCCCACAGACGACGCCAAATGTTTTAGGTGTTTTTGTCCCTCGGGAGAGTTACGGCTCGAAGACTAGTTCGGTTGGAGTTGTACCTGCAAAAACAACGGAGACTCCTGCTGGTAGGAGCTCCACCTCCGAAGATCACGTTAGAAATTGAATGAAAGGAAAAAGTGCAGAAATTTAGGTGGGATCTTCTCAGATTGCGAGATTAGGTGTTTTCTATTAAGAGAGAAAATGGATGCCAATTGCGGTTTTTCGGGAATCGGGCCTTGAAGGCCGTAATTCTTCTGATTTATCCGAGGCTGCCACGTGTCAGCTAGTGAGTGGCCTTAGATGACCTGTCCAGACTTCACATGAACATCTCTGATTGGTCCACATGTCTAGGGTATTTTTACAATAAACAACACGTAAGCAAAATTGGCGAATGAAATTTTCCAATTTAAATTAATTAAATATAAAATATTATCATTTGATATTAAGAAAATTATCTAAATATATAACAAATTTTAGCACATAAATATATATAAAAAAAAATTTAAAAATTCAAACAAATTGTGCATCGCACGGGCTTCATCTAGTCATCAAATATCAATAACAATATACTCCGTACTAAAAAAACACTAACGTTTTCTTTATTTTTTTTTTTATTTTTTAGATTGAATTTTTTACATAAATAAAACAATAAAAAAAATTATTGTACAATATACTATAAGTTTAAGTAAGAAAATAAAAATAAAATCAAATTCTAAACACAATTTGTGATACATAATATTGTGTACTACTCTATCATTTTTTCAACAGGGAATTTTTTATGGGAAAATTGATAAAAATAATCTTAACTTTTGCCAATTTGTTCAAAATAATCCCAACTTTGAATTATTTTTAAATAATCCGAACTTTGGGGGTCATTCGCTCAAAATTATTCCAACCGGTCACCAACCTATTATAGTAGGTTAAGGTGACACGTGTCACCATATGAGTGCTTGAAAATTAAAAAATATAATAAAGGAATAAAAAATACAAAAATACACAAAAACCCAATGCCACCCACAACCAGTGTCCCCACCACCAGTCAATGCCCTAAATCCCCCGTTCCGGTTCCCTTACCCCCTAACTCATTGAATATCGACCCAAAACACCACTATCGCATCCCGATCAAATTACAAACCCTTAATAAACCGCAAGGCCACCGCAAAATCCCCCAAATGGCCCTCCGATTTCGAGGGTGGAGGAGGGTCGATCGTGGTGTTTGTGAGGTGGGGCTTGGTTTTTTTAAGGGTTTTGGTTCATTGATAATGGTTTTATGTGGTTTCAGGTTAAAGGAATTTAAGGGGTAGGGGAGGGCACAATCAGCGCCTGCACCGGCGCGGGGGCGGGGAGGCTGGAAGAAGGCTATCGGGGGTGGTGGGGGTTGTTTTGGGTGTTTTTGTCCCTTGGGAGAGTTACAACTCGAACACTGGTTGCAGGAGACATGTACTTGCAAAACAACGGAGACTACGGGTGTTTGGAGCTCTGCCCCCGACGATCAATTTAATACTTGAATATGAGTAGGAGAAGGAGCAGAAAACGAAGTGACATATTCTCGGATTCTAGGATCAGGTGTTCTTTGATGTAAGAGAATGTAGGGTAGGTGTAATAAAATGATTGAATGTGTCCCAAAATTGGGGTATATCTCCCTATTTATAGGGTCATTAGGGAACGTGCCCTCTCTTAGGTCATTTGACCTAGATTTGGTGGGTTGCGCCGTTTTGCAGCGTTCTTGCGAATTCGGCCTTGAAGGCCGCAATTCCGGAAAGCATCTGAGATTGACACGTGTCAGCTGGCAATTGGCCCAAATGGAGCTGCCTATGCTTGACACGTGGTCCTATCTGATTGGTCCACATTGACAGGGTATTTTTACCCAAAACATTTGTCCCTCACAGGTAGCAGGTGGCGGGCCACGTGGTGCCTGTGACACGCGGCATTTAGGGAGTGGTGAACAGTAAAAATTGTTCACCTTCTAGGGTATGACGAGGATTCCCTTGTTTTAGCCCTCTATAAATAGAGATTTTTTACCCTTCTCTTTCCTCAATTCCAACAAAGCATTTGACTATTTTGAGTGGGAAAGAGAGAATTTCTAGAGAAAGAGGCTCTACATGCGTCTGTTGTGAATTTGAGACTTCTGCCTGCATTTCGGGGAGCACATCCGGTCACCGCGTGTAGCAGTTTTTAGATTTTCAGAGCCAAGTTTAAAGGTAACCGCCTCTACTCCCTTTAAGTTTTTTATACTTTTCCGCTTGTGTAGTTAAGCTTCAAAAATAAAATGGACTCTCCATCGACCCACACGACACCGCCTAGGTCATTCAGCCGGTCTCCTGGTACGGCTGAATCTAGAACTGAGGTTGCCCTTTCTGGACATTCGGACCTATTTTTCTCATCCTCGAACTCCTCCATCTCTGTGTCTATGCAGGACACGATGGACAGAGTTAAACAAACGGCTATCAAGCCTAGGAAGCGGCGCGCTAGGAGAGTGCCTGCTAATGAAGTTATTCATGATAAGGAATATAAGGGTTCGAAGGAGGAGCAGGAGCAGGCTGGGTCTCCCCCGGGTGGCACCCCCCTCAACCCCTAGTGATACAATCTTGGAAGAGGCAGACAGCGAGGATAATGCTTCTTCCTTAGGCTCTAATGAAGGGGGGTCAGGCGGTGAGGAATTCGCCGAGAGGTCCGGGTAAGAGGCATCAAGCTCTGGCCAAGAAAATATGGCAGCTGACTACCAGCAGCCGCCAAAAGGACCGGATCAGCCCAATCCCTTAGTAACTAAGACGCTTCCTAGGGACTTGGTTGTTATGCAAAGTAGCTTTCGAGCCTTTGCGGAGGCATATCCGATTGGGGAAGGCTAAAGGATAGAAGTTTTGCCGCCTAAGGCAACGCTTGCCTAGAAGGATGCTCTTGAAAATGCCGACAACTTTTTGGCTGCTACGAAGCCGTGATCAAAGCCGACCACTGCTTTCCCCTTCACAAAGGGATCAATAAAATTTTAAAGGGGTATGACTTGGGAGTCTGGCAGCTTACTCCTAATTTGTGGATAAACATTGTGAGCTATATTGCCGCCTGCGAGTTCCAGGACATAGAACCTAGTTTTACGGTGTTCGCTCATAAGCATTATATGAGCCGAGCCCCAAGCGAGTATAGGGCGTGGTACACTCAAACCAAACACTCGCAGTACTTGAAGTCCTTGGACAAGTTGTCCTAGTGGTCCGGCTGGAAGGAGAGATTCTACTTGATCTCTTCCCCAGCAGTGGGACACAACCGGAAACTACGCCGATACAATCAAGATCCGGCGCTGCTCGGGAAAAAATGCACCCTTCCCCGGATGTTATCCAGAGCCTACAAGCAGATAATGAAGCCTGGCTTTTTTGGAACCAAGACTGAACCCCTGGAGGATGGGACTCAAATAATTGTTCCAAAGAACTGGAAACCCCATCCAAATTTGAAGAACGAGGCATTTCTCTCTGCCTGTGGGCTTAGCTCCATGTTCCCACAGGGTAGACAACTACTACACACCCGCCAATTTGTCGTCTGTATTGATGCCTTAACTATCTTTGTTGATCTTTTTAACCAACTGTTTCCTTTCTTTTTGCAGAAGAAGCAAAGAACACGGTTCCTCCAGAAATGACCTGCTAAATCGGCTACTCAACTGAGGAAAGAGAAGATTCTTAAGAAAAAGGCCGCCTTAGAAGCCAAGGAGGCCAAGAAAGGAGGGGTAAGCCCGCCTGCTATACTTTCTAGCTTTTATACCAACTTAGTTATTTACCGATTATACCCATTTCTTTGAACGTACAAGTTTTTCCATTTGTAACTCATTTTTCATTTGCAGAGTGGAAGCAAATCAATTCCCCGCTCAATTACAAAAATATTCAAGCGACCAAGGGATGAGATGGCCAAGACTCCTTCTAAAATGGCCAGGAAGGACCCTCCCCACACATCTTCTTGAGCCAAATCTGACATACCCACAACCGCGGACAAAAGACCGGCTGTAATGAAGGCTCTGAGTGAAAGCCTCAGAGCAAGGGAAAAGTCGGATGCTTCTGAAGCATCGAAGAGTGGCGAGCCACTCACTCTTGAGGGTGGCTCGGTAGCGGTTGAAGTCGAGTCTTCCCAGCTAAGAGTCCAAGGTAAGACACAAATCGAACTCCCCTGATCGGTTGACTATATGCGAGTCAAGACTCGAGTCAACCCGTCTGAAGGTTCGATGAGCAGGCGGCATGAGTCGGGTGCCGCCTATGCTGCCTTCTCACCAAGTACTTCTTTTGGTGCAGATACCCCCTCAAGGCCGCCTAACATGCAGGTGTTTTCCAAGAGGATGGTGCGGACCCTCACCAGGACAAAGAAACACTCTCTGCCTGATGTGCAGGTGGTGGATTTTGATCGGATCTAGGGCCTATTGGCTGAGGTAACTTATTACCTAGAACTTCACTTTCTAAACTTTTTAACTCACTTAGCTAACCGTCTGACCCCTACCTTTTCAGGCAATGCTGAGGCTGGACGGGCTAAGGGTTCCCACATGCGGAAGGCATAAAAGATAAATGATGCTAAACAAAGGGTCGTTCAAGCTCTCAACTCTGCTGAATACAATGTGATGTTGAAATTAAATAAGTAGAGTAGAAATAGGAGGAGCTGATAAAGAACTTGACGATTGATAATGACGCTGCTA